CTCGATTCACGATCAATTTGCTCGGAAAATCTAAAAATCTTCTCGAGAAAACTCGAGAGCTCGTGGTACGGAGACCATGATTCTTCGAGGGGCCATCCATCGTCGTGTCCGTTTCCGGCGGTTGTTGCGCGATGATCGTTAAGGGGTAGAAACGGCATCGATTACCAGACCACAGTTCGAAGGTAAATTATGTAGGGAGTTGGTTTGTTCGCGAACCAGAAGCAGACAGACTGTTGAATCTTGCAACGGCTGTTTTTCAGCGTCCCCCAAGCTCGAGGAATAAATCAGAAAAGGTCAGAAGGGGAGCGTACGGGACAGGCAGCGGAAAGTGGCACTTGACCTTCCGGCGTTTCGCGCTATGCGACCTTGCCGCCTCGAACGACACGACCCTATGGAATATTTCATCGCAGTTGCGCCTGCTGCTGCCTGCCCATTTTCGCGCAAATGAAATCTTACCTACCTGCCTGCATCCGGGCCTGGAATCATTCTCCAACGTCGTTTTTTCTTACCTCGTAAATTCTGTACGGTTGAACGAGTAATTCTGACGATATGTGAAACTTTAGCGATATTTTCATCGTGTAATCTCTAAAATTATGCGCATTTAATTTCTATCACGGTTTATTCTATTTCGTTGGGTCGATTTCAACCTGCACACCTACTCTCGATCATTCTGTCATTCATTTACCCTCTTTCCTCCATTGTTTCATTCTCGTCCGCCAGCCGGCGCGACACTATTTCATTAAGCTCTGAGCGACTTCTCCTAATTACTTATCGATCGTGCAATAGGATCAGTCACGACGTTTACGTCGTAGCTGTGACGTACTTCAGGGATCAAGTGAACCGTGATTTTGTTATTTTTCCGTTGGGTAATCAAGGGAGATTTTTCAGGCGAGATCAGGAACTCGATTTTCTCAGTTAACGTGTCTCCTTAAAAAAGTCCATTTTAAACAACTTCGTTAAGCTACGTCGCTATCTATATTTGCATTAATCCGTATAATTGAGGTAGTCGGAGTCGATAGACGGAGAGTCAGAGTCAGAGTGACGGAGATTTTGCCTCGATTACTGATTTTGCTATATTCTGCTTATTTTTCTTTTCTCTCTAATTTGCAGACACGACACTTTCAACCAACAAGGAAAATTTGCAAATCTCTACTTTTATAATCGCGCGCGGAAAGTTGCACTTATCAATGTGCACTTACGAATACAAATACTTCTCGTTTGAAAAGAGAACGTGAACGAATTTCCATTTCCCTGGACGCCTCCAAGTAGAATAATTCTAAATACGCATATCAACTTTAATCCAATCCACCTCGACTGCCTTTGAATTCTGGTTAATTTTCATGCTTGGTAAGTTCCATCTCGCAAAGATCCCGCGATAAAATAGGAAGGAACGAGCGGCTTTCGAGCTTCTCATTGTTCAAGGACGAAATATTCCTCCCCTTCGCATGCTAGATCCGTAGCCTCTATCTTGGCAACGGTATCTTCAGCGGCGTTTCGAGAACGAGACCATTAACGGAGCCGCAACTCGGCGACTTTTTTACTGTCTTCGAGAAGAACGCGGACCTTGTGTTTCACGTCGCCTTTGTATCGGGAGGTCGGCTCATTCCTGAGGGACTCTCCTGGCGTAATAAATGTCCGCCTGTCCTGCTACCCCAAGCTCTTATTGCGCCGCGTTCGCGAAGAAAGAAGCGCGAGACGAAGCAGCGTACAGGGTGGAATGTCAATAAGGGAACCGGGAGGTAGACAAACGGGAACGTCGAAGTTCGTGAAAAATAGAAGGGGATGCTCGACGGTGGAATAATCGCGGATGAGGCGCCGCTGGATCCTGGAAACGGAATGTTCCCGGAGAAAGGTACTATGACTGCCGAAGAGAAACAGCGAAATTTGTCTTCCAGATCTAGTGGAACTGTTGAAGATTATGGGAGTTGCTCTATAATATTGAAAGTAGAATAATATTTTATCGTAGCCGTGCTATTCCCTTTTGCATTACTTTCGAAGCAATCGCGTATTTCTATCGAGAATAAAACTTCTTGGTTTTATCAAAATCGTGATAAAAAATAAGAAAAATACCGAGGAATGTATCGTTGCTCTACTCGATTCGTAAAGATTCTTTTAAAATATTAAGAGTCTTTCTGTTTATTGAAATAAGAATGAGATATAAAAATTCGGAGACTAGAAAGATAGGAAGAATTTTCCGTGGATTTCATAATTTTGAGCGTTACGCGGCTATGCTTCGGATAGTTCTGATTCGAGAGAGGTTTTTCGTTTTTAGAATAAAATGGATGAAAAAAAAAAGAAAAAAACGGTGCGAGCTAAACCATGGCCGACTGTGACTAATTATAAGAATTACCATGGTCGAGCAGGACCGGTGGAGTAGCGAGGAGAAAAACGAAAGAACGATACGTTTAATCTGTAAGCAAAGCGGGTACGTCGGGTCTGAGGCGGTGGAGGCGTGTCGAGAGGAGAAACAACGGCGTGACACGTTTCACAAGAGGGTGGAGAAAGGACGAGGATCGCAAGAAACTTGGGACACGGTTCGAAGAGGTGGAAGAATAAAAGGGCGCGTTCACGGGGAGAGAAACGAAACGGCGCACGAGACATTTCACCCTAAATTGTCTTACCGACGAGCTCGCGGCTAAAAATCAATGACATTTAAGCGAGGAACGAGAGAAGGGACCCGAGAGAAAGAAACTAGGAAAGGGGCGGGCGGCGTGACTCGAGCAAAAAGAAACGGAGATCCTGTGAACCGAGCTAGGGAGCGGTCTTTTATTTCGATGGAAAGCAACTCCCACGGTCGTCGTCGGTTCTTCTGGTCGAGTTTCGGAGGCTACTTATAAAAATCGAAGTCGACAAGCTAAACGAGAATTCCCGAGGGTTCGAGCGAAGGGAAAGATGGCATCTGCGTAAGCGTACGTGAAATATTAATGGGAACGAAGGGAGGAGAAAGAAACGCGTCGAGAGACAAGTAGACGACGCGACG